TAGTTCATAAAAAAAATATTTAATTTAGAAAGCGGGTTTATGTGGGGTAGGGTCGGACTCTGAATGGATTTGGATCCAGGAAAGTACGATTCCACCACGTCACTCCAAAATCGGGTGTTTGGCATTTTCTATAGGGCGTACTATTTTACCTTTGTAATTACATCTTATTATTTGAAAAAGAATGTAATCAATATAATATAGGTTAAATCTCTTTTTTAGTCCCTCAACTATTGTATGAAACTCCAATTTGGTTCCTAAACTGAAAACATCCTTGAATTGGTCCCTATTGTTTATCAATTTTACCCCAACTTGGTCCTTTCGTTAAAAATCATGTGAGGTGTCATGTTAATTAACGACAATATGATGACATGGCAAAGTATTAAACATAATATAGCTGACATGGACAAAAATAATGATACAGTAAAAAAAATATTGATATGACAAAAAAAATTCTTAAATTTTTTTTTCCTTCTCTCTCCCTTTCTCTTTCCCCATGGGGTCTTGGGCTCTTTTGAACTCAATGTTTGAACCCAACATGCCTGGGTTCCAACTTGGAACCCAGTGGCCGTTGGGTTTGAACCTAGCATGCCTGGGTTGCAGTCATTGGGTTCAAACCTGTGGGTTTCAGCCGTTGGAACCCAAGCATGCTAGGTTTGCGAACGCATGGGTTTCAACGCTCACTCAGTTCAAACCCAACACGCCTGCCCAATGGCTGCCACATTCGAACGCGTGGATGTGTGGGTTGGTTGGAACCCAGCGGCCATTGGGTTTGAACCCAACATGCCTGGGTTCCAACTGTTAGGTTCAAACCCGTGGGTTTCAACCATTGGAACCCAAGCATGTTGGGTTCGCAAACATGTGGGTTTCAACGGCCGCTCAGTTCTTGGGTTCTAGCGGTTGGAACCCAGGCGTTCAAACTCAACAACTACTACATTCGAACGCATGGACGTGCGGGTTCCAGCCACTGGAACCCACAATGGCCGTTGGGTTTGAGCCTAGCATGCCTGGGTTCCAACGGTCGGAACCCAACGATCGTTGGGTTTGAACGCATGGGTTCCAACTGTTGGAACCCAGTATGCTTGGGTTCGGGTGGTTGGAATCTAGTGGCAAACCCAACAAATTTTTTGTTTTATGCAAAAAGTCAAAAAGATTTTCTATTTTTTTGTGGTTTTTGTTGTTTGATGATGATGATGAATAATTGATTGATGAAGAATGGTGATGAAAGTGGATTCGGAGGAAGCAAAGAGAGAAAAAAGAAGAATGAAAGAGAAGGCTAGAGGAAGAAGATGAGAGCAAAATTGTAATTTTGGTGGATCCCACTTTTTTTTTGGTATTGAACAAGAATATAACATGTCATATTGCCATGTCATCATTTTGTCCATTTCTACATCTGATGTGTCTTAAAATTTTGCCATCTCATTAAGTCATGTGAGTTAACGATGGGTTTTTAACGAAGGATCAAGTTAGGGTAAAATGGGTAAACAATAAGAACCAACTTAGGAATTTTTTCAGTTCAGGGATTAAATCAAGATCCATACAATAGTTGAGGGACCAAAAAGGGGTTTTAACCAAAAAAAAACTTTGTCAAATCAAACAATTGGGCAAAACCTTGAAAAATTTGGCCATTTTTTCCAAAATGAAAGGAAAATGCTTTTTGCCAACAGAAAATAAAATGTAGAGAACGGGAGAAAATAAAAAGAATGCAAGAAAATACAGCTGCTGAGAGGATGGTGTTGAGAATGGTCGAAGTTACCTTACCGACCCGTGTCTCGCCATGTCTTCCCCTAAACCCATCTGTTTCAATACCAAGCGAGAATCTTCGAAGGCAAATAACAAAACCCAGAACACTGAAAGCAAAATCATTGACGATTAGCGCTATGGCTGCTGCTGCTGCTGCTGCTTCAGTCTCTGGATCTTTTAATCGAACAGTTGGTGTGCAATTGCTGCCAGATGATGAATGTTCCGAGGGTAATAAGACACAGAGAAAAAGCAAGAAAAGGGTATTCTTCTTGGATGTTAATCCGCTATGTTATGCCGGGAGCAAGCCCAGTTTGCAATCTTTTGGTCATTGGGTGTCTCTTTTTTTCTCTCAAGTCAGCCTTAGTGATCCCGTTATTGCTGTAAGCTCTTTTCTCTTGTTCTTCATGTTCTTCTTCCTTTTTATTATTATTATTATTATTTTTTATTTTCACTTTGTATATAGGTAGTACTTCTGTTTGAGTCATGGATTGATTATGGAAGACGGTGCAGGTAGAGGATATGTAAGTTCTTTATGGAGTTCCTCAATATCACCCATTTCAATTGACTCTTGCTTTGCAGGTTCTTGATGGGGAAAATGGTAATGAGCAGCGCAGACGGTTATTACCCTCATATAAAGCACATAGGAGGAAATCCTTTGCACAACCAACAGCTTCTCAAAAATCCATGAGGAATCAAGTTGGACGGTCAAAGCAAGTCATCATAGATGTCCTAAAAAAATGCAATGTTCCGGTAGGAGAACTTATTTGGTTACTCATTATATTTTCCTCTTCTGTGCATTTACTGCTATTAAGCTTGAAGCTACTTTTAAGTTTCTTTCCCACCAACCCATAAGCTCCTAAACATCAATGAAAGACAACAATTCTAAGTTCCCTTGATATTGACTCTTACCACCTCTTTTGACATCTTAATGGATCAAATTATTCTTGATTGTTCTATTAATTTCATTCTTGAGAAACTAAACATACAGATTGTAAAAATTGAGGGACATGAAGCGGACGATGTTGTGGCTACACTTGTGGGACAAGTTTTACAAAGAGGATACCGAGTAGTAATTGCCTCTCCTGATAAGGATTTTAAGCAGTTGATTTCTGAAGATGTTCAAATCGTTATGCCTCTGGTAGAGTTAGACCGATGGTCCTTTTATACCATAAAGCACTACATTGCACAATATAACTGTGATCCGCAGTCTGACTTGAGCCTTAGTGAGTATTCAATTCTTTTTCTGTAACTTATCTGTATGTTATTGATAAATCTTACAGATATGAGTATGTGTATCTTTTGTTGAGAAAATGTTGTTCAGTAGCATTCTAGAAACTAATTGTTAATCAAATCTTGGAGGAATTAGATTTAATTTTTATCTTTGGAACTGTTGGAACTGTTGGAAGGACTTATGATAGTTTCACTCCATGTCTATGAAACCCAATTGGTGGTCTCTGTTTTTCCTTTTATTTGACTGTAATAGATAGAAAGAAAGGACAGGGGGGCTGAAGATGATGAAAAAAAGAGAGAATAATCAAGTGTTAGCAGGCAGATTCCCTCAAATAAAAGATGCTTCAGTTCAAACAAATTTTCAGCCTCTCAGCATTTCTTCTTTTTTTTCCTGCTAATACTTTTTTGGGCTATGCCTCTATTAAAAGGATATCTTTACACACTGCACATGATAGGCAGAAGTTAATAAAAATTGAGATTAAATTGGCAGAGGGTTGTAGAAAGCTTTTGCTCCTGGGATGATAACTATGCAGCTTTTTTTTGCAAAGCCTATGGATTATATGTGCCAACTGATGAGGTAAGTGGTTAAATATATGATTAAATGATTAGTGCTACTAGTTTACAATTTGATGTAGAATAGCCAGGAGTAGTAACTGATAGATAGAGTGGTTCACTCTAACTCCTAAGTTCAGTTTTCAGATTGTAATATAACAACATTGCTTGGAGGTTATACATGTGCCTTTTGAGTTGGTGTGTGCCCTATATTGAAACTTCATGTCTTTCTTCCCACCACTTTGGATGGTATAATGGTTTTTTTTTTTATTATTATTAACTCAATTTCTAATCAATTTGTTATTATGTAGGATGCATCATTGGTGACGAGGTTGATGGTGTTCCTGGAATCCAACATTTGGTTCCTGAATTTGGTCGGAAAACTGCCTTAAAGCTTTTGAAGAAACATGGCTCCCTGGAAAACTTACTAAATGCAGCTGCAGTAAGAACAGTGGGAAGACAGTATGCACAGGAGGCCCTCACAAAATATGCTGATTTCCTGCGAAGGAATTATGAAGTTCTTTCCTTAAGGAGGTAATCTGTCCACTCCCTATGGGAAGAACTTGGTGGAGCCTTAACCCTCCTAAATAGTATTTTATCAGTCTCTAATTTACAGTTTCTTCCTCTTTATTAGATATCTAGTCAATCATCTGCCTAGATTACACTATTCATTTCACAGGGATGTTGATGTTCAATTTCAAGAAGAATGGTTGGCTGAAAGAGACACATGCAATGATTTAGTTGTTTTGTCAAATTTATTTAACAGATCATTGGAAGATACCCGCAAGCTTACACCACAAAAGTGGTCTACTTCCTCAAATGGTTAAGCCATGAGAGGTAAGTTAAACTTTTTGGTAGTGTCAAAAACCCTTTCTAGTGTTCAATATATACTTGCAAAATGCAATATTAACACAAACAACTCTTGGTGGCTCTTTACCTTTCTTAAGTATAGAGATCTGCATTAACCTAGAAACTGTAATGCCATTGTGAAGTCTAAAGTCTATCATTCTGTTGCATCTCCTGATGATGAATACTAAGCTGGAAGACCAAAACTTGATGTGTCCAAATTGATTGGAACCAACCCAACCTTTGCATTCCATCAGAGAGCTGTTGCAGTTTTCTGCTTGGAGTAAACCAATTGCTTGCCCATAAGGTTTACTTGGTTTTTCATGTTCATCTTTTCATTTGCAAGAAATCTTATCAGATTCTTCTAATGCAGCGGAGAAAGCAAATTTGTTAGTGGATGATTGGAAGGCAATTACAGAAAGGAGGAATTCCTCACTTGAATTTAATTGTTGAATACTTGAAAGGCAAATATTCATCAAATGTAATATATGCTGCTGTTTCCAAATGCATAATGATTCTAGTTTAATTAATAGAATGATCTCACGTTGACACTAATTGCTCCTCAACCTATCGGGTGCATCCTATATCAGTCCAGTGCTTGTTTGGATCCCAACATTCCCAGGATAAACATCCCTATGAGGCCGACCTGTGTTGAAGCCGGCTTGGTTTTAAATCTGGGCACAAAATTCCATGTAGATAACAAATGATTCTTTAAAGTAATAACATGTTTGCCGGAAACCATTTTCAGGCAAGAACACCCCGGAAGATTTCGTTTCTGGAAAGTGGCAAAATCGAAGTATTAGTAAGTTGTTGTAAAATAAAGAAAATAAGTAAAAAAAGAAAGTGTGAAATAAGAGACGAAGTGAAACAAAGTTACCATGAAGAGTGCTATTTTTCTTTCTTCCACAGTCTCCCATATAATAACAAGCCCTATACATGAGCTAGTGGTAGGGGTGGCAATGAATCCCTGCCACAGGGCAAGGCGGTGAGGAACATCCCTATCTTCGGGGTGGAGATGGGGGCATTTTTCCCCATGAAATTAAATGAGGAATTCTCCTCATCCTTTGGGGACACGCAATGGTCTTCATCCCTGCAAAAACTTAAAAATTATATAAAATAATTTTATTTTTAATTTAATTCAACCTATTATAGTAATACATAATATATATTTCAAATCTAAACATAATTTAATAAAAATTAAATTAAATTCAAGTAAGTTAGTATAGTTATTTATGTTAAATTAATTTATATTTATCTTTGAAAAAGTTTTTTGGTTTAATTATTTATATCGAATTAATCTTTATTTATGCTTAAATAATTTATATTTAATTTTATATTTAAAAAATTTTAATTAATTGTACTTAAATTTTTAAAATTTTATTTATTATAATTAATTATTATTAATTATATATAAAAAATTTATATTTTAATATAAATTAACAAAGTACAAAAATAAAAAATAAAATTTGTCTTCCACGAAAAAACTAGGTAAAGATTCCTTTTTCATCATTCATAGAGACAGAGACAAGGACAGACTTCCAACCCTGCAGGACCCATCATCATCCCCAGCTAATAGAGTGGTAGAAGAAATAAAAGTGAATCATCACTAAGTCATGAACTATATGGGTTTAATCACCTAAAGCCGCTAAGAGATGAGTTATGTAGTGGAACTTTATACGACTGTAATTATATAGAGCTAATCAGATTTATATTATTATTTAATGTATAAATGACATAAAAAATAGAGAGATGAAAAAAAAAAAAGTAAAGTAAAACGTCCATAAACCAATTAATTCATAATATAATTAACTATCTTGTTGATTTAAAAATGTTTTTTCCTCATAATGTTTATATCCAATTTTTTTTTATCTAAATTGTATAGTACTTCTCTTTTATAGCTTAACCCTCCTCACCCATTCACTCACGATCTGTTGATTCCGATAGAGGAAATTACCACTGATCTTTTTTTTTTTTTTTTTTTTTTGGTACATAAGAGATAAAAACAAAGCAGAAAAACTAAAACCGAGGGAACAACGTCCCTACGGCATCCCTATTAAGAATGCTGGCAATTCCGACCGGAGGCTCTGGAAACATAGTGACACCATGGGAGAGGTTTTGGCCAATAGCAGCCATATAATCTGCTGCAAAGTTACCCTCCCTAAAAGTATGCTGCACATGATACTCAGAAAACGTTCTTAGAAGATGGAGAATGTCAGAAAATAGGGTCCAAGCTAAGCCTTCCACCCCTTCCTTTGCCTGCAGCATGTGAACCACTAGGAGAGAATCCATTTCCAGGATCAAATGGGTGATTCCGAGATCAGATGCCATGCGCAAACCCTTTCTGCACCCCGAGAGCTCTGCCATAAAACTGGATTGATGCCCAATGCTCAAAGAAAAACCATGGACCCAACGACCTTCATGATCTCAAATCAATCCGCCAGCACTCGCTTTCGTTGTAGCATGATTCATGGCCCCATTTGTATTTAGCTTAAAGAAAGGAAGATCGGGAGGGTACCATCTTACCCAACGAGAGACTCGAGGACGGCTTGAAATCTGCGTAGCCAGTGCTAATTTGGTGTTCATAGCTAAGGAAGTAGCCTGTTGAAGCACAATTTGGGGTGGAAGCCGCTTGTCTTCAAAGATCAAAGCATTTCTACTTTTCCAGATGTACCAAAGGAGGGCTAGGAACAACATGGACCACAGCTGACGAGACTCTCCAGTTGAAGAAGTGGAAGTTGCATTTTGGTAAAGCCAGCCATCGAAGTCCAAGTTAAAGAAGTTTGCTGGCAAAGGTGTAGATTCCCATACCAGCCGGGAATAATAGCAATCTCTTAGAAGATGCAATGGAGTCTCCTGATCTTGTTCGCATCTTGGACACATGGGTGAAGATGCAAAATGCCGTTCAAATCTAAGGGAATTTGTGAATAATCTTCCTCTCCACAAAAGCCACATAAACATTTTTATCTTCTCAACACAATGCAATTTCCAAATCCAACTCCAATTCCGTGAATGGGTATGGATATTAATGGACTAATTTTGCAACAAGTGAAAGGCTGTTTTTACTGAAAAAACTCCAGTATGTGAGCCCGCCCAGTACATTCCATCCTCTTGATGTCCGAAAGATGGTAATGGTAAAGCCGAGATTTGTTCAACCACCAACTCTGGGAGAAGTTGCTGCAGTACCTGAAAATCCCAAGTCCTATCTGGATTAATTACATGAGAAACAGGAATATCAATCTGGTCTTCGAGCACTGGAATTAAAGCAGCATCCAACAAAGGCCTGTCGCTGACCCAAGCATCCTGCCAGAATTTGATCTTTTCCCCACTACCAACTCTCCACCGAAGGCCTAGCCGTAAGACATCTCTACACCGTAAAATACTCTTCCACGTAACAGAGGAGGTTGAGTTGATGTTGCAGGACATGAAACTTCCACGCTGAAGGTATTTTTGAATAAAAGCCCTGCACCATGGCTTCTCCGGGTTAGATAGCAATTGCCAACCAAGCTTTGCTATTAAAGCCCGATTATTATCCTTAGCCGAACGTATCCCAAGACCCCCTTGAGTTCTGGGTAAGCAAACAGAGTGCCAATTAACAAGATGGGGTCTATTTGCCACATCGGACCCCCAAAGAAAATTCCTATTCAATCGATCAATAGCTGCACAAACATAATCTGGAAGAAGTATTGACTGCATTGTGTATGTAGGTATTGCAGAGGTAACTGATTGAACCAGGATCCTTCTCCCTGCCATGCTCAACATTTTCTGTTTCCAGTTGGATAGCTTTACTTGGATTTTCTCAAGTAAGTGCTTATAAGTATCTTTTGTTTGCCTTCCATGTAAAATGCGAACTCCCAAGTACATTCCCATATCACTTGTTAAAGGAATTCCACAAGCATTACTGAGAGACGTTGCTATATGCCTTTGTATATTCTGCGAGACATAAAGCTTAGATTTAGCTAAATTAATGTCTAACCCAGATTCCATTGAGAATTCTCTTATACAGTCCATGACCACTTCCACTTGATTTTGAGTTGCTGTACAAAAAAGCATGAGATCATCGGCAAAAAAGAGATGTGAAAGCTCTAATCCTCCTCTAGAGATTTTGAATGGTCGCCATACCGGGGATTGCACGCGGCTTTGAATTTTGTGAGAGAGCTTCTCCATGACCATAATAAAAAGATAAGGGGATAGAGGGTCACCTTGGCGTAATCCTCGCTGTGGTTGAAAGGGAGGTAACTCTTCCCCGTTCCAGAGAACACTTAGTTGCAAAGAGCATACTGAGAACATAATCAATCGGATGAGGGGAGTTGGAAAATTAAAATCTTCCAGAACTAAATGAAGAAAATCCCAATCAACACTATCAAAGGCCTTATGAAGATCAATTTTGAATGCAAGAGCACCCTTTTTACCTCTTGACCTACGCATTGAATGGATAGCTTCCTGAGTGAGGAGGATATTATCTGCAGTGCTTCTTCCTGGAAGAAAACTACTTTGAAAAGGCCCAATTAAGTGTTGTAATAAGGGCCTTAATCTGTTCACAATAACCTTGGCAAGCACCTTATAAGCCACATTCAATAAACAAATAGGACGAAATTTTTGAATAACATCAGCATTTTCACCCTTCGGTATGAGAACTATGTAAGCCCGAAGCAACGAAAGTTCAAAGTAGCCATCTAAGAGAGAACGATTGATGAAAGTCAGCAAAGTATCAGAAACTACCTCCCAATGCTTTTGGTAAAAGATAGG